AACGCAGGGATTCACGACTTGAACGCCGAGAAGACTCGGATCGCAGGGACTCACGCCTTGAGCGTCGGGAGGACTCCGATAGAAGAGACACACGTCTTGAGCGCAGAGAATCCCAATCCGAGCGACGGGACTCTCGACTTGAGCGCAGAGAATTCGATACCGACCGAAGAGATGCCCGACTCGAGCGAAGTGAGACACGCCTCGAGCGCCGAGAAGACTCAGACCGACGAGACTCACGACTCGAACGCCAGGAAAACTCCGAACGCAGGGATTCACGACTTGAACGCCGAGAAGATTCCGACCGAAGAGACACACGTCTTGAACGCCGGGAGGATACTGACCGACGGGACTCACGACTTGAACGCCGAGAAGACTCCGACCGAATAGACTCACGACTCGAGCGCAGAGAGGACTCCGATCGACGGGACTCTCGACTTGAGCGCAGAGAATCAGAATCCGACCGAAGAGACACACGTCTCGAGCGCCGGGAGGATACTGACCGACGAGACTCACGACTTGAACGCCGGGAAGACTCGGACCGCAGGGACTCACGACTTGAACGCCGAGAGGATTCTGAACGACGAGACACACGTCTCGAGCGCCGGGAGGACTCTGATCGACGGGACTCGCGGCTCGAACGCCGAGAAGACTCTGACAGACGGGACTCCAGTCTCGAGCGCCGGGAGGACTCGGACCGCAGGGACTCGCGACTCGATTCCGACCGAAACGCAAGAGTGGCGGAGACTCGACGAGACTCTGAGCGCACAGACAATCGACTCGAGCGACGAGTGAATGAGCGAAGAATATCACCGCAAGAATCAACTGAAACACGTCTACAATCGCACAGATTGGACGACCAAAGAGTGGTCAGAGATTTGGTCCGTTTGGACGACTTGAGTGACAAAGAGCGACGATTGGACGCATTCGAGAGCAACGACTGGTCGGTGATGGCTATGAATCCGACGAAAGGACAGGCCGTCGAGGGTCTGCTCAGCAAATTGAGTGCTTTGGGTGTCGTGTCGGTGATCGCATTCCTGTCACTCAAACACTCGACCAAATCCACGGATTCCTATGACTACTCGAAACTTATTGCTATTTAAAACACGAATGAATAGTTTATTTAATTAATTAAAAATGAAAAAAACTTTTTCTTCAAATCTTATCTCAAAATATATGACAAATAAAACTATATTTAAATGTATTTCTCTTAAAATATTTGCCAAACACTGACTATATATGTATGCATTTAATGGAAACAATAAAATGTTAGTTTAGATTTAGATTTCAGTCAATGTATGTGTAAATTAATTTAATTAAATATTAATTAGAACATTGATACAGGTGCAGTTACTACAGTATTATATTTATATTACACCTAGTTACTATTATGTAAACTGTGGCTATTGTAGGATAATTTAGTTAATTGTAGAAAACTATAAAAAGTATCAAGT